GTTTTATTGTCGTTCATACTGTTCTTTTCTAGGTACATTTCTTTTATGTGATGTCACTTATTGCTGTTTCAGGTAGTGTGATAACGTAATAATTGAACTGTTTTTCATTTTTGAGTGCTATTTAACTAACCGGATCAAAAATAACGTTATTCGACCATCTTTTCTGACCATAATTCTTTTTCAAGCAGTAAAGATCCCAGATTAGACGTCGTCTTACTCGGTGAATTTGACGTCTGCATTTTTAATCGATCTTAACACACACTTCTTCGTCCGTTTGCGGCATATTCAAGTAACTGTAATTCGTGCCATAGTTTTAAAAGCTGTGTTAATTTTTGATTTCGCATTGGTTCTCGCTTGATTGTGCTGGAAGATTCCTTAGGTTAGTAACTGGAAATAAATTCTGGTATATTATCATGGTGTTTACTCCAACATTTTACTTCCATTCTTTAGAGGTTTACAGTTCTCGTTGATCATGGGTAATATAGCCATGTGCCGCGTGATTCCCGTTGTATGTATGCTACCTGTCGTCTCACTTATCCTCTGTGTCACATTGACCATCATCGAAGATCCACTTGGCCTCTCGCGCACTCATTGTACAGTAAGGCCCGTTATGTAACGTGAAATATCTGTTACTCATCATTTAACGGATAAAATGTACCCATTAATTTTAGATTCCGAACTACGTGCCTTCGTTGAGCGCATCGGTATCTGTGGGCCTGAGAAAGCGTGTTTGGATAGCCAGTCTAGGAATTACTTGCGCTATTCGCCTTTTTATTAGTTGTGCCTACAACAAGGCCCTATCAAACTTTGTGAAGCCTTCAAACCAATATCTAGTTTTTCTTTTACAAGCACACTATTGGCTACATCTGTCGGAAATCACATGTCTCTTTTTATTGACAATCTTCACTTCAACCGAGAATTTTCGTAAGTTCTTGCTGTCCGAAATCTTTTTATTAATTCGTAGATCTTATTATCAGTTAATCCAATTCTCATTGGTTCGCAAGTGATAATGCATTGTTAAAGGGAGTGTGAGCAGTTTTTCGGCTATTCAAACTGGAATATAAAAAGCGTTCTGCTTGCTAAGATGTATTTGCTTAGTATGTTTGACTTATACTGCCATCTGTCGGACGTTTCTTACTCTTCATCGAAACGGCGCCATAGCACACCAGTCCTTGTTCTAGTTCTGGATAGTCAGGGTTCATAGGAGTATGGTCGGACGCTTTCTTATGACACCTCGTCTCCAAAGAGCCATTCAAATCGGAGCTCCTGTTTATTGAAACTTCCTTGTTTATATATATTCTTTGATCTACGTTTTACTTTCCTCACCAGCTTTTCACAGGAATGCCTTCGCACTCTTCATCATATCGTGTGTACTGTTTGGGCTGCTGGACTTGCATCTTTTGAAGATGTTACGAGGCACATACGCGCAAGTGGTTCGTGAACTTTTGCTATATAAATCTTTTAAGGTTGATTCGATTAGAAAAAAGCGCTATCTATTGACAACCATGGTGTTTGCCATATTACTGTCTACTTCCTGCTACCTCCTTCATAATCGTTATTGCATTCCCCACCGTAAGTCGACTATTTATATTTACAAATATTTGCAAGTAATTTGCATTTAGTCCTATTATATATTTCAAAAAATCGCGAATATTATCCCTTTTGAAACCTCCTGTTATTAGTTTATAATATATTAGACGTTTCGCTCAAATTTAGTAGGGATCGTCTACTCTTCATAAATAAATCATGAGTAAATATGCCATATCTCGGAGCAGTGCATAAATATCATACAGATTTAGGCTTACAGCACCCCATGTTGCCTTGCGCATTATTATTATTATTGTCTATTCTGGGTCAGCAGTGTGGGCGCTATGTGGTCTGTATGGATTTAATGTAAGTAATTATCCTAGACGCTGTAGTAAAACTAGTGTCATTTGACGAAACTTCCTGTGGTTTTCTGTAGCAGACTGAAGTTTTGGTCGCTTTAGAGCACGTAGAAGCAATTGAGCAAAGTTCAGACGTAGAAAATGGGATCCTAAGAACCTTTTTAATGTCCATTTCACAACGCTACACATTTGAAACTACGGTGATATAAATCACCGTATGCTGTTGTCTAGACTCCATGGCCATCATACATTTAGATATTTTGAGTACCAGATAAACAATCTGACATTTACAATTCACATGTAGCTTTCGTCAATGCTTTCTTAGTGTAAAGACATTTCGATAGGTGTTCTGAAGGTCCACCAAACCGTAATTTCTCCCATTGCTATTAAGTCTTGATTTATTGAAAATCAAAACTGTGGAGAATAGAGTGCGATGTGAATGCTATGCTTAATTAACCTTTCCCAATTGCCTACGTTATGATTGGCCACACAGAAGGTGCAATTTAGTGAATGTGGCATTATCTAATTTCAGGAGCACCTGCTTGTAATACCTAGCCTAATCGTTGTTCGGTTTAAATAGAAAAGGCTTTCTTTCACATCATCTACTAATTTGTTTGTATTCATAAACTGGTGCTTTTCTTTGGCCTATTCTGTAATGTCTGAAAAGCATTCCACCCCGTTTCTAACCTGAATCATTTATTTCATAGTTTACTCTCTGTTCGCGCTTTCTGAACATGTCTTTATTCTGGCCAACGTGGCCTTTCATTATCGGATCATCGATTTAATTGGAGAGATGCCGTTGAATTTTATTGGCTCGATGATCCAAGTATCGTTCTCTTTTGAAAACGTGAACCTGCGGAACTGCATCAATAGATGATGATGTTGAGTTATTTTTCTGCTTTATCTCTTTTTAAACTCTAAATTTGTTTTTGTTTAATATTCTTTGCACTTCAGTTTTTTTCTTCTGACAAGTCTTTTCTTTTAACATAATACAGAGGTAACTATTCTCTCAGAAATTTTTGTTCACGGTTTTAGTTATTGTAGCCTTAACTTCCAGGATGTAATTTCTTCGATGTTAGTTACTCAGCAGCCAGTTTGCATGTTATAATACGTAAGTCGTTGCTGGGTCGCGCAGCGTTCTTGATATTCCTTCGGTAGGATTTTATACGGGCCTGACTGGATTACTTGTAACTAGCAACACTGAATGTTGTCCCAATGAATGTCTTTCGCATAAAAGTCCTAGTGTTATCTCTTGCTACAGCAACGTTGTTGTTCACTAAATTGCAATATGTCAAATGGAAACAACTAGTAGGGGTTGCTCTGACATCGGGAGTCTAATTGTTCACATCGTTCGAGATGTTGTGCCTTGTGTAATCGTTGTTGCATTCGTCATAGTTGTAGTCAGCAAGTAATTGGTGCTTTCAGTAATGCGCTCGAAAGTGGGTATTGTAGCTACTATGAAAAATTCAGACAAACGACGTCTGGCGGATTATTCCTGATCTTGGAAGGTCAACACGCTCTGTCATGTTGTGGGTGTCTTCGGCTTAGGGATGTTCGTAGTTCTGAATTGATGGCGGTGGATGTGCTAGGGTAAAACAAGCAGAACCTCAGGCCTTTTCCTATTCTACTATGGACAAAAAGCAGGCGAAAAGTACGGGGTATTAGACAGTGCAGACAGTAAGGTGACCTCAAGTAGAATGCGGCTGAAAAACAATTCTGGCTTGCGAAATGGCAATAAAGCCAGAATAAAGTGTAACTAATTTGGATTGAGAGAATTACTTTTATTTGTACTATCTAACTTCTCAAAATCATGTGCCAAGTGTTTAATCAATCATAATCTGTGATAATTAGAACCTTAAAAATATATTATAGTCTCATTGCTGTATTAAAAAACCGCGGAAACCAAACATCTAAATCATGTTACATAAAAACTTGGCAGCGAACATATTATTAAAAGGGCATTTATATCAAGAAGACTTAACAATTTGCTGTTTTAACGCCTGAAGTCGTGTTTAATAAATAGAAAAGTCTTAAATGAAGTCCTTTGACGTTTGATTATTTAGCGTGTAAAATGTCACATACGCCACACACCATGCCACCTTCCGGGTTACATCGCTGGATTTACTTATCGAGACCTGTACAATTCTCAACGTCTTTAGGCATCGTGGAGAAATTTACCCAGGTTCTCTTATCTTATATGTTATCTTCCATCATTTCCTACCATTTTTGTCAAAATATAGTCCCCTCGATTTCAGACTTTCTTTCCTTGAATAGATTATACATTGCTTGTAAGCGGGGGCTAAGAGATAAATGCTAACAAACGTTCACTATTTTTTTCAAAACCTCAGGCCCGTTTACACCTATTAAGTAATTGTATAGATAACACCTAATTATCGGATTATTGTCTTTCACAAACTTCCAGTAATTAAAAAAATTTGATTTTATTTTCGCATTTACTAAATATTCTTTGTTCATCCAATCTTTTCTTTGAACATTCTTTATATACTGAAAATATTTTGTATAATTTTGTTAAAACACCCTTTTGTAACGTTAAGGACAGACACCAAAACGTAAATTAAGCAGATAATTCTGCTCGGGTTAACGTGTTTATATTCGGTGTTTTAAGTGCCGATGATTTCAAAGTAATGTTTCGGAGGAATAAGAAGCCTGGCTATAGTGAAGAAAATTCGAAGAAAAAGTTTTTAAGTAGCAAAGAGTCCGCTAAAAAAGTTAAACACTTGAAGCTCCTTGCTGGTACTTTTAGTAATTCTAGCTAGTGATTGTTTCTTAAGAAAATTTGCCTGATTCTGAACTGCAAAGTTTTTTCGAGGAGCACCATTCCGAAATTTTTCACAATTTCCTTGACCATTTTGATACCGAAGTTAGAAATAAACGTATGGTTCTATTTTTAAATAGAATTTTTAGTATCAACCTGTACTCCCAAAGAATGTGAATGTCAATTGCTTATACTTGAAGTACACCCCATTTATATTCACTAATTATCTAGAAACTCCTGGTTTATCTCCCTGAGCGTTTTAATTCCCAATGGCAACTGAAGTGTTTATGTAAAATCAGCGTTCTAATAATGCATCCTTAGTGGACCTTGTACAGGACATGCTGCATCCTTCAAAACCAATCGCTGTTCAAGTGAACGGAATGCGAATATTTCTGCTTTGGTACCAGATTTTAGGGGAGAACGCTATTCCGGCGTGTACGGATGTTTTCATTCACTTAGTTCCGGAATTTGGTAAAATATACAATGTATACAAATCACCAAAGCGTAATTTTTACGTATATAGTTTATTTGTTTAGTCAAACCCTCCAACACTGTGCATCAAATACCAGTTAGTTTTGATGGTGACGGTCAGAAAGAGTGTCGAAATGCACCCATTCATCCAGGGGTTGCCACTTACTCGGATCAAGGCACATTAGCTGTTGCAGCGGCTGATGAGGTAATTTTATCATTAAATTACTTGTCATATGGTTAAAGTACGGCTGTGCCCCGTGCCGCTGGTCCTGTAGCAAAAGATTTGGAAAAGTTAGCTTGAATTGTTCATCGGTTGGAAGTGTTAATGCTACTGAAATGGCAGACACAAACCGATCGGTAACTTTTTTATGAACTCGGTAACCGTGTCATCTTTTCTCGATTGTTCATGGCTATGTTAAACCATTAAATCTGTTGTAATTAAGATTATCACAGTTCTGGCATTTTCATCTAGCAGAAAAACCTTATACTTCTGCGGTTCCTTCTTCGTTTTTCTGTTACTGAAGTGGACAAGATTCTGTGGAATCCAGAGCCCATTGACCGGAGGACCATGTGCTTTTGGTTTCTTTTTGAACAACTTAAGCGGTATTATTTCCCAGCTATTTTCCCAAAGTACGCTTCTGAATAATAAAGGAAATTGTACTTTGTTTTATTCAAATAATTTCTTGGTATCGCCTTTTTACTAGGATTTCTGCCAAATATAGTTTATATGATGGAGGTGTATTGCCTTCTGTGATGTCCCATCTTTCTGACTACTCTCCTGCTCCCGACGGATATCCCATTTCCCCAACACGTTTGGCTATTTATCAAGAAGAGGTTGTGCAGTGGTTATCCGAATTTTTATATAATGGTCCTCTCACATATTCTCCAAATCCGTAAGTAGTCTTTCTCCCTGGATACCGTTAGTATCTGCCTACTATTCTAGTTTTGTCCCGACTATATTTCTCGTGATGTCTGGAATTTCAGATGTTGCTATATATTTGTTTATTGTTTGATCCGGAGATACAAATTGTCAGTTTTATTTGATCTGTTATCGGTCTCGAAAATATTTGTGCTTACATTATTGTACATGTGGTCTTAGCCCAACTGACCCACGTAGCGTGATATCAAATGACAGTGTTGGCGGCAAAAACCCTCGTTCAAGAGAAGGCAGTATCTCGGGGGTTGATTTGAGCAGTCAATCAGACCTTCAGTTTTCTAGCGCCAACGACCCAGATCATCGCAATACCTTCTTTACCGGTTGGTTTTTTGTATTGTCACTTTGTTTAAATTGTATTTCATTGTACTCCATTAACTTACGGTGAGGCCAATTATCATGTGTTTTGAATCTAAGAAAATATTCTTACAATATGCATTTTGCTAGTGTGCATAGTTTTAAAACTAGATATCGTCTTTTCTGTTTGGGTTGTCATCAACGATATATTTTTCCTTCTTTTATAAATCCCTTTGATGGTTTTGTAAAAAAAATCATGTGCATAACTTCTGCTTTCATAAATCTTTGCAGAATTTCGTGTTATACTTGAAGTAATTTAAATTTCACATATTCATAAATATTGTTCTTGCGTTAGAAGTAATTGTATTTAAAGAAGACCTTTTGTTTATCTGGCCACGATAAATTGTATACGAAGATCTAAGCCGTTAAATTAAACCGCTTTGCAACACTGGTGTACTTCAAACCTACATTTAGATGGACCTGCGCTCGGCTTGGTTAATGAACTTTCGCCCTCCCAACCTCAACAACGCGTCTGCACAAACGCGGCAGCTGCCTTGTCTCCCTTGGAGATTAGTCAATCTAATCCTGGCTACTCATCCGATTTTTTATTGGTACCTCGTAAAGCAGTTTCGTTAGAACCCGTCCCGTCTAGCCTTCCAGTGTGGGATCTAAATTACTCTCCCAAAATGGTACGTTATTTTCGGTCTTCATAGTCGTGTTCGATAAAACGTAGTTATGGAATCGGAGATGTGTTGCCGCAGAAAAATCGTCATTAGACAATTCTGACGTCAATTTTTACATGCTGTTTACTTTTCACTTGTTCTATTCGTGCTTTATGTTTCCATTTTTAATGGTTGATTCTCGTTGGGTTGAATTTTTGGCCTAAACCGTTTTACTTTCGTAACATCGTTTGATAATGCTAATTATTAAATTTAATTTGATATTTGACGACTTCATTATTCAATCATTTGCATTGTAGGTTTCCCTTGATATTAATCAAATGAATGTGCTTTCCGTCTTCTGTTTTTGGACTTTATTTATAATGAATAACCTAATTTAGGTTTGGAGGATATATTTACTAAAACATCCTCCATTTTCCTTTAATTGTTTGGCGATAGCTTCAAATTAACATGTTGCTCAGTCTAATTTTGTTATCATTTAAGGTCAGTCGAGTTCGCGAAATTCTCTTCTACTCGCGTCAAAATGTCAATCTTATTCATGCAGTGTTCTACCATGCTTTTCTATTACCTCTTGATCGATACAAAACCCTGTTTCGTCTTGTTCTTGTCTACCGATCGTGGCTTGATGTAAGTGTGTTGTTCTGGTGGTTCTATTTTTATCGATCGATTCGCGCAAATTTATTTTCCCACATAGATTTTCTTCGTTTTCCGTTATATGCCCCTGCGTAGTTCTATATTGGCTTAAACTTTTGGCTCATACTATGATCCCTCGAATCCAACCAAAAATGAAGGGATTGGAGGCAGTGGAGATCTTAGTTTACTGGGCTACTAAGACTCGTCTCGTTGATCGCAGTTGTTCGTGATTGCTTATAGATCGTGAGAGTGGACTGCAAGGAGTCGGAGATGGTTTGTGGAAATCTGCGTGATGTGTTAACGCACATGCACACACAGGTCATTTATTTGTAATGCATTACTTGGTATTCCGTATGGGTCCAACTTTGCGCTTCTGTTTAACTTGACTTCGGTTGGCTATACTTTCAATCCCTGACCTGTTTAAATTAAAGAATAAGCAGAATATCAACCTTTTACTCTGTAAAGTTTCATTTTTTCTCTTGATTCAGGATAAACCAGTGTTTATGAAAAATGTGGAAACTAAGCTGGTGTCTGCCAAGGTAAGCGAATGGGTACGTGTTAAATGTTCTATGAAAACGAAGACTTAAGCGTAATCTGTAGAGGCTTACCAGGTCTCATAACTATAAGGAAAGCTTCATATTTCCAACTGTTTTGTACCTTTGATTTCCTGAGCTACTGTCGTTTTGTTTAGTGGAAGTTTTTGCATATCTGGCAAAGAAATGCCACATTTTCCTCCCCTATCTCATACACTCGTACTTCAGTTGCTATCTTAACCGAAAACAATTGGTTAAAATCCAATGTTACGAGGAATTTTAAGGTGACTTCTAAAGAATTAGCATTGTACTCTTTCGCGTGGAAGTCTCGTGTATTTTTCCATTATAGAACCTCACTTTAAACCACTTTTGTATTGATTCTTTTTGCCATTTACGTGCATTTATGCGTGGTTAGATTGTGTTTTTTTACTAGGGTGCTCCACAGATTGCGAGTGGCCAGAATTCAAACCTAAAAGACACGAGACGCCGTCATGAATCAGGCCCCTCGGCGATACTCCAGATCAGATCCGCTGCTTCGCTTAACCCGCCCTCTTTACTACATCAACCACCCCAAGCTTTCTTGCACAGCGACGTTGGTGGATGTATGCAGACAACATTCCAGGTTGGTTAGTTTCATTACAATTTTCAGTCCTTAAGTAACCGAAGCAATTGTTTGATATTATACCCTCGGAAAGTGGTGTATCGCTGACCTTTGCTCGATTTCTTGGGTGGCATATTGCGAACATAAAGTGTCATGTGATTGCCCACCCCTAAGTGTAGGGCTCATGGTTTGCCTCTATGCCCTATTTTGACAACAAGTACTACTATCTCACGCCATAGTTATCGTCTCATGTTCTACACTCCGATAATGGGTCCATTTATTAACTTAACAACTTGCGACGTAATTTCTTTGTGCCTTTTTCCAGCCTTAATCTTTCGTAGTCGAATCAAGTTAAAAACTAAATTCCTAAATTTTGCAAGACGATTTTGCTTCTTATTGCGTCAGTGTATCCTTTTCTTTAAGTACTTGCAAATATTTTCTTCTTATCTTCTTAACCAATAACTATTATTTGTGACACCATGCCCTTCAACTGACTTATTTCTTAGTGCTCAGTGGTAAACCTCAACTTGAAATTTTGGACATGAAGTTGTACTTTAGGATTTTAAACGACTTGATTGTGGGACAGTGGCAGACGCAGTTGGTAAATGAAACCTATCCCAGTTAACGTTTTTTTTTGCAATTTTTAGGTTATGTTTACCAATGTGTCACACATTTTTCTTCGTGTGTGCCCTCCAGCTTGTGTCACAAGTGTTGAATCGGGAGACCGGGTGCTAGATATGCCGGTAGATTTTGTATCTCAGCAAATCGCTCTGTGTACCTTTATTCTCGACAACATCATCCAACCCTTGACGCAGTCTAATGCGCTCAACACCGAAAGCTGGTAGCTTCAATTACCTTTTTATTTCTTGTCGACTCTTGCAATGCCTTTTTGTTAGCTTCAGCGAATTCCCAAAATTAGGGTTTATTCGTTTGATTGGGTTGCGAATTTAGAAAACCTCGAAACTTACTTCATGTTAAACTTTGTTTGGTTTAGTGCTCCCTTCATAGGATTGTTAATAGTCCTCAACTCACTCCATCATCTGAAGGTAGCGTTGAACTCATTACACAGCTACTGGTACCCTACCTCAAATGGGCATTTATGCAACAGTTTTGCCTCAGCAGCATTAGATGTGTAAATGTGTATTTTTGTAACTTACGTTAAATTGGTAGAGGAGACTTTGCGGCACCTAGGTGTCATTTCCGAATTCATGAAATGTCGGCGGAGCTTTAGCACACTGGGCGGTTAGTGTGCGTACTCGTTTTTAATGAGTTATGGGTTCTTTATGCTGATTTCATACATGTTTAAACTTCGGAATGCCACTTGATTGTCTCTTTGTATGCACGCCACGAAAATATTTGTCTCGTAAAAAGTTTCGCTTTTACAGGGAGAAGCTGCTATCTACTTTGATTCACATAATCTCTGAAGTCATGTCCAAAATCTACCGCAGTGACCTTTTTGATTTCCATTGGGTATCTAACGATAGCCTCCTGAGCAAAATGTTTCAGGTGAGGTTTTCTGATATTCTATATTCCTTAATTTTCTTTTTGACATATGATCTTATCGTTCAGATTTTACTATGTTTTGACCCAAACCAACCCTTTTATTAGCATAATTATTTATCTGCAACAGAAAATCCAACTGAAACTCGAAATAACATCGTACTTACTGCTTTGCGTTTTTCCATGGTAAAAAAATTAAAAATTGCTCGTTATTGTCAGATAAATGAATTAGGCTTATTCCTTTCCTTATTAAGTCTGTCAAAGTGTGATATTGTATCAAATATAGTGATGCACACTCCGTGTGCAACTTGTTTCCTGCACCAAGAAGTACCCAGGTGACTGTCTATCCAGTTTCCTACCACACCTTTCCTTTGAATCCGAAGGAAGTTAAGCCTCTCAAATCTTCTTAGAGGTTAAGTCAACGGACTGTGAACGAGAACATCTCCCCTACGTGGAAGTTAAACAAGGTTTTAGGGTTCTGGTGGAGATTTCCATTTACGTTAACTCCTCAAATGCACGTGATCTTGTGACAGAGAGTAACGTGTTTAGGTCACTTGCTTATTTATCTTAATTAATTGACAAAACGCTTTAAATTGTATTTGCACTATTCAACGAATATGTCCAAAAAACTAAAGGTCGTTTTATTTCACGTTATTTGACTATTGTCGGACATTTTGGCATGAAATAGCATTGTGCTACGCGAATGTTTCGTTTATATCTAAAATTATTTTAGAGTCTTGTGAGGTGACCGTAAATTTCAAAGAATTCTCTAATTGTATTGCTAATTGTCTGTTGCGTCAAATTTAGGTTAATAAAGTACCACTTTGTTTAAGAAATAGAAAATGCATGGGACGAGTTATCCTAACTTAGTTTTCTGTTTTACGTATCGTTTGTTTGTGAGCAAAAACAACTATTTAATAATGCTTAACGTCGACCATTACCTATCCTAGGAAAGAGCTTTTAAGTGGTGTTCGGGCATGAAGTGGTTCAAAAAGGAAATTGTGTGAGGGAGTAGGTGTGTGAAATTATAAAAGCATTTTCACTTTTATTACTGACGTGGGGTATGCACACACGACTTTACAAACAGTCCTAGCTGCTGAATTTCAGGTCACTGGCTCCAAAGCGAATTCCATCTTGCCCTGTAGGCTGCTAATTTTAACCTCTTCGCTTGTATATTGCAGGTAAACTGCCTGATTTTCCCTGATAGTAGTGAAATTTTGGCTACTGGTAAAATTAATGGGTTATTTTATCCTGGTTATACTTTCCTTGTTTGTTTAGACGCTCAATACCGCCTCGATCTACGCAACTCTCGCAGCACCGATATCAGCGACTTCTTGGGACAGTTGTTTAGAAATTTATTCGAAATGGCTGGATTGTCCAGCTCTTTTCCGGGAATGGAAGGCAAGGTTCTTTGACAAGTGCATTCATTGGTGTGACCCACCAGTGACATCTGTTAGAAACGTTCCTTTTCGATCCACCCAGTACTATGTAGTATCAAATGAAATGCCTTGCTGATCTTGTTTTATTTTTGTTGCTACAGAAGACCATGGACCTTCTAACCCGCCAATTTAGTAAAATTGTCTTCGGCGTTAACTTAAATGACCTCCCAAACGAATCCAAAACAAAGCGTGGAAGACGCACTTTTGGTACGTTTATAAGATGCACGCTTCGGTGAAGAAATATTTTTTTCAACTTCGATCGTCTTTTTGGCAGTGTTTACGTAGCTGAACTATTGTCTAAGTTATTTAGTCATCATTTAGTCGCATCCACTATGCTAATTCATCACATTAATTGGGCTTACAAGTGTGTCATATTTTTCCCGCAACCTCACGATCCTACCTGGTGCTGCAAACAGCTGAACTAATTTTTGTCTATTATTAGTTTTTTTAAAGGTCGGATTCTTATCAAGACGTGTCCATTATCTCGATGTTTAAAATTCTGCCTTTGTCTGATACTTTTTGCTTGCATATCAAACTATTCGAAACTTTGAGACTGACTTTTTCGTATGGCGGGACTCTAGGCCCTCGGCCACCACCGATTGGTTCCTCAAACTGGAAGATGCTGACCAAGGCGATGATCCATTGCACTTGTTTGTGTCTTTTTCGATTTTTACAAACTATCTACCCTGATTTCTGCTCTCGCCAAAAATGATTTTTTTGTTCACCCTCTTTTTTCTATTGTCAAGCCGTCCACAGGAGTTTTTGCCAATGTACAATACCTCTGCGGAATTTCGGCATGCGTCGTGTGTAGTGCAATAACAAGGAGGCGCTTGGCTGTGTGTATTGTTTTGCGAGGCTGTCCCATATCGCTACTTCTGGATTTTCCGTTTGAAAGTCAAATTTTTAATCACGCATTGTTCCAAGACTGAATTAAGAGGCCCAATTTTTCCACTCCGGTTTCTTTAGATCTGGCAGCTTGGTGCTGTGAATTTGCCTCTTGTGATACATTGTTCTGTCTAATCGCTCTTTGCGGCCAATAAATGATGGTAGCATTGAGTAAAAAGCCCTGATATTGCAGGGATCCAATAGAAACTCGAACCATGACTGATACGGTAAATAGTTTTTTTGCACTGCAAACTCATCAGACTCAGGTAAACTGGGAACCCCTTCACAGTGCATCAACCGGTCACATGCTGGTATTCGTGAGTTGTGAATTTCTGTCGATTGTGAGCATTGTTTGTGTATGTGTGTCATTCTAATATTGTAGTTGGTTTGCTTTCCGAATTCTGTGGACGCCCCTTTCTGGTATAAACTGAGTCTAAAAGATAAGGCGAAACGAGCACTCCTCTTTTGTGCTACCATGATTAGTTTTGTTTTTCTAAGCTTTTGCAAACTATGAAATATGGAGTCGAAAAGGCCGATAGCTCGCTTCCAATGACTATATTTTTAGAGATTTCTTTGTATTCAGGCCCGATTTTCATGAATACATACTTGAGTTAATCTATCCGGCGCCAGTATTAGTTATCAGATGCTATGGTTTAATTCCTACGCCGAATACGCGGTTCTTTTTGTCACTATTTCACTGTTTTCCTGAATTTGTTTTCTTTTTGTCCTTAACCTTTGATCAATTTGCACCGATGGCACTCACGCTAAATGTACTGGGATTTACTGCGTTTCCTTAATGCGTCCCATTTAGTGTGGTACATCTCATACCTATCCACGTTTAATAAATTTCGCATGTTTTAAGGTTTTCCGACGCATTTTCAATGTTGTACATTAAGTTGATTTTTTCCTGGTTATTTTATTCTTTCGGCTTTACTTCCGATGGCATTTCTCCAACAAAAAAGGCTGCGTTTAACCTCTAATCGCGTCCATCACCACCTTTAGGGTTTTTTAATCGGCCATCTTGACCAAACACTTTTTGTCATGCCGCACTTTTTTTGTCTCGCTACATATTATCGTGTTACAAGGTCAGCTATTTCAAATACCGGATCTCATGCTAGGACAAAATTTGTCAAAATGAGGGAAAACGATTATAGTAGCTGGGGTTATTTGACATGAAACAGTACCGTCTTACGTGGGTAGCCGCAATATTTTCGTCCTACATAGTTTTTATTAACTATGTAGTTCCGGCCACTCGTTTTCCAATGATAACTCGAATTAACTTAAAATGAGGGCTTAATTAAACTGTTCTATTTCGACAATGCGTACATCGCTAAGAGTTGCAAGTATTGACCTCTGTTTCTTTACGTAAAGTCATGTCACAGGGCATTACTCGGCTCGGCAGCAAACGGTCGGATGTTTGTCATCGAAAATTTGCTTCTCTTATGTGATCTGTTATTGATCCAATGATATCGTAATCATCTTATTTGCGTTCTTTCTAATCTCTGACTTCTTTCTAAAAACTCATGTCATTAGCCTGCTGCACTAAATTAAATTTACTTAAAATCTTTAGAATTGGAATGCCTGGTGTGCCTAATTTGAGTTGTTTGTTTTATTTCATGCAGTCTATTTCACCGTTTTTAGCTTGCATTCTAATTTGGTGCGAATTTACAGTACGATGCATCGTAGGCATTCTAGAAGTCTAAAACCAGCTTTTGTAATGCAAACATCTCCCCAGTTTTTTCGTCGAATGTCGATGATAATTTGGTCAAAAATGAAATATGTACCAATGTAGGGCATGTATACATGCAACCATGGAATTTTTTGTTAACATTTGTTTTTTTTTTCGTGTTTCTACTTACCGTAACATCACCTCAATTTCGGTCTTAGTCATTGTTTATGCGTGAACTACGTTAACTAATTTGCTACATTATGTATGAACGATGTTCTCTTGTCATCTGTTTGAAAACATACTGTCCCCATCCACGATATTTTAGGTGCCGAACGTATAAAAGTCACACATAGTAGTTTTGTTAACGGTCTTCAGTTTTTGTAACTTGTCACTGTAATCCCTTATAAAATTTATGTGTTTCTTGTAATAATTGTAATGTTTGCGACACTACTTTTGGTCACGACATACTAATGTCAACCCAAGTCTACTATTCTGGCTGGCCCTCTAATTTTAACATTGATGTCTTTAGAATATAGGGCGGTCTAAATGTAACACGCCCTAGTCTTTACTATAAATTACTCGCAAACGGGACGCCGCTTTATTCCATTATCCTTCAATCAATGTTCAAATTGTCAATCATTAGTATACAATACAAATGCGAATTTTTCAGCCATTTCGTATTTTGCGGATTCCTAAAATGCAGACGTGTCGGCGATTGGTTACTTTTTACTAGTTTCTCAGGTGAGAGTGCTGTCTAAGTGCACGTTCAACCTTTTAATCAGTTTTGGTGAAAACAAAGGCACAAATGATCTGGGAATGACTGGTTAGTGAAGAAAATAAATATTTTTGCCGTTGCACGTCATCATATTTTTAGTCCTTTTTGACCTCAGATCTGCGACTCTCACTGGACTGTCCCATGTTTTAAATTATTAGGTGTAACTAGTAGTGGTTCTTCTGGCCTCTTGAACTCGAAGATGGTGGAGAAACGTGGACTGCCAACGAATGCAGTTGCCAACGACGCATCAATCGCGGTGGAGTCGGCGGACACGGTGCCTGATAACTCTGGCGTGGAGTTTAGCCTGACCACGGGTTCTGACGAGGCTGACGCGACCAGCTCTGATGGCATTGCGGAATCATCGGCTGCGATTGATGGCATTGCCTTCCATGAAATTACCAACACCTCCGATGGGTGCAGTAGTGATGTTGACTGTGAAGTACGCCCCCTCGTTACGATTCCCCCAAACGGGGATATTTATAATTACGGTCGTTTTCCATTGAGTGAGGTCCACGTAGGATGAAGTCGGATCACCCTTGTTTTTTTTCAAGTTCGGTCCCTCAATGTACTAAACTTGGTTGTTGTTCAGTGATGTCTTAAGCTAGTATGATTTGTGATTGGAATTTGTACAAATGAACCTAACACCATAATTTTTTTTTATGAAATTGATTTAATTTTTATAACCCCAGCCCCACGACAACTACATTCTTGTGCCATCGATGGACCTTCACTCCAACGACACCACCAAGAAGGGAAGCGATGACTGTACAGCAGTGTCATTTTCTTATGCACCTAGCCGTCTAAGAAGTAGGTCGGTTGACAGAACGGGAAGTATTAACACAATGTATCCCACCAGAACGCTAACCTCCTCCAACGGCCTCTATAAGGAAGGCATTCCCAGGACCGTCTCCGTGCGCAACATTACCGAACACAGCAAGAAATTTCAACATTCTAGGGTCATCAGTGTAAGTCATTGCTACGCATTTTATTAATTCAACAACTAATTCGCGTAATCCTGTGTGCTGTGTCCCATTGTTTCAGTTGTCCCAGCCAGGAATTTGTGAATCATAACGGTAAAATACAGTGTTTTATCTGCCGTGACTTATCCTTGGTTTTACTCTAGCTTCGGATTCCAAATGTTACCTTAAAGATTATTTGAGGTTACATCCTTGCTTTCTCCGTGTTTGAATAAAAAGTACATTGTTTATTTCAAATTGACTTGTGGAATATTTGATTTTGTTGACGACGCCCTTTGCATTTTGACTAACGGAAGTCGAGTTTCCGAATCAGACATGTGTTGTTCTGTTATTTTCGCTGATGTGTAAACTTTACTGAGATTTTGTTGTTCAACCGTATAGTCTGATTCAAAAGTATAGGCTTTCGACAGATTTTTATTTATTTAATCATCCTTGATCTAAAATTTTCAACAGGAAGTCCCCATCATACATGTTAAAAAAATCGTCATTTTCTATAGATAGCCGTTAATTTAGATTCTACTCAGGTCTTGTTGATGTCTTTATGTGGCACTTTGCGACTTTTCTTTGGCAACACGGTGAATTTTGCAGCAAGTTCAGATACCGAAGGTAATGCAGCTCTTTTGGCGTATTCAGCCAAAACACCACAGCCACAATATCCATCGCAAGTTTCATCGGCCTCATCACCATCATTTACACATAAATTCAACGAAACTCATGTATTCACCCTCCTCGCCCTCGAATGGGACGTCTGTTGTTGTCACTGATGCCTATGTCGCCAAGGTAACCTACCTAATACCCCGTCTTCAACTTCGCACACAACCTCAACCCTTGCCTTTACACCAGCCCAAGCCCTCCTCTTGACCCGAATGCACACTTACCATGCCTGTGGGCCAGTAGCACTGTTCATATGCAAATAACTTCGACTTTGAAAATGATGACTGTCTTAGTGGGACTTTCGACGGTCTTGGATCGGCAATCAGCCAATTCGCGAACATTGCAAATAATGCCACATTAATTGAGCTAATCCCAGGAGAATTTGTTTGGCCTCTATTTGTGATCCTGGCATTGTTGCCTGGGACGAACAACTTATTTGTATGCAACCATATGAGACAAGTAGCTAAAGTATATGCTGAAAATCTTTTAGTTGTGCCCTTGTATGCTAACTCAGCCCATGAAGAATCTGTTGTGCTGTCTTTATGCGAGGACTTGCTTCTTTTGACCATTTACACTAATATTCTCTTCGTCTGATCTATTAACTAATGTATTTTTGAGAAAAATGTTAAAAAGCAACTACGAATTCGCACCTTTACTTATATCCCCATCCAAATACCCCCACATTCGTTGTGCGATTCACGTGCATGAATTTTGGCGGTATCACCTTGATGTGTTTGTACATCATTTCGCAAGGTCTTATTTTTAAACATCACTAGAATGTTTTGTCTTGTGACTTGCGCAAATGCAATTTAACCATGGTATGTCAATGCAAATAGTATGAAATGCCGGTAGAAGCCTAGAAGTTAGTAATTAGTAGTGTGTGTACATTTCAAGCATGTGATGGAACCTTTAAGCATGGCTAGCTGAGACCATAAATCACTAGGCTATTTGTAAATGACTTATTCAATCGTCTTTTCGCAGCGACTGCGATATTATCGATTTTTCGTCCATATTTACTGGCATCCTATGGAACTATGTTGTTGCATTTTCCATTACCTACGTGTCCCTCTGCGGACTATTCGGTTCTCTTTCCTTTTTCCTTTGTTCATGCGTTGTCATAAAGGTAAGTAGCATTTCATACTCTGCTGCCTTGAATCGTAATACTGGGATTTTTTCCTCGATTCGAGTTTGACAGCCACGTTAAGTGCATTTCTTAACCTCGATATCCCCAGCTAACAGTACTCATTTTCTGACTAATTTCATCGTGGTGCCCTTTCATCTCGTCAGTTGGCATTATTAATCAAATTTCATCTTTTAGAGACAACCAAACGAAGTTGGACAGTCAAATCATCTCTCAGGTACCATGCGGCACGTCACCACGTTAACAAGATCGCCCGATGCTATTGGTAGGGTTGTTTTTTCAGGTCTTGGGTCTTTTCGTGTTTAAAATTTTTAAGATTCCGTACCCGGAGACCGTGCATAATGACAGTCCACGCTAAATCGCGTGCGATGATTCACTGAACTTTTGCCATTTTCATGTGCCTTGGTGTGTCATGTCGAAATTATTCTATTAATCTTTGGATCTGGTAAATTGCACCCTGACTATTGTCGCTAGTGGCTGGTTTGTTTTAGTAGCTTTATATCTATGCAGTGAAGCCACGAATAAAGTGGCGTACAGGCCGCTAATAACTCTCTCTACTCATTTAACTGAATTGAGGATCCTGTATTTAGATTTATCTCCTAATTTATTTAATTTATTGGTTCCCAATAGGAATGCGGCACCATGAGGTTCCTTTCTTGATGTTCCAGCAAGTAACGTCAGACAGTCACAATTTGGCCCACTTCTTAGAGTGTGATTGAAATCATTTAGTTTTGGATTGTTATGAGTGAATGATCAATTGCGTATTACCTTTTTTTAAATTCTTTTTGAAGCAATTTCGAGGAATAACTCGCTCGTGGCTGATCCAAAAGCTAGTAGCGTTCTGGCAGGTGGAAAGGAGCCTGGTTGGAATGCTGACTCTGCACTTGTTTGTTGGCGTCGCTTTCTCGGTTTGCTGGGCGATTTCAGTCAGCTCTCCAATCCCACTGTCATGGTTAATGTTTTTGTGTACCTCGATTCTCTAATCGACTCCCTCGTGGATATCGACGCTTATCAACCGCTTGAATTGGCGCCCAACGGCGCATTCAGACCGCCCACTACTCGACCTCCGTTCGACTACTTAGTGCCGGTTTTTTTGAGGGTAGGCAGAATGTGCCGGTTTAAAATTGAGCATATTTTCCTGTCAGCGTGGCAATTATTTTGTGTTATTTCATGAACATTTTTTCCTTTCAGGTTTTGCAGATGCCTCCTCAATTCAACGACGGGAAAAAAATTGCCATCCGGATTTTGAAAAAGATGCTTATTCGTCAACAAGACATAGAACAGTGCAAAGATATTTTAGCACCGTTTTACCGTATTCTGCATCAATTACTTGTCAGAAAGGAAGAAGTAATTAATTTTTTGTGTAGTGTGTTTTGGTAATACAATCTTAGCTACAGGTATGCCAGTGGTTGATGCATCACTGACACGTACAGACGACTTAATCTGACTTCTAGGGAATTATTCCGTTCAGAATATTGCCACCTGATTTCAAAATGACTGGATGCACTGTGATTTTCACTTTATTTACATCATGTGGGATAAAAACGGATCGTGTGTAAATCTGTTTGAAAATGAGGTTAATTCTTCTATAATGCTTTGTAGCCCACGTTCTCCGTGTTTTTTTTATTTTGTTACATTAAATTGACTTGCCCTAAATGGATTGCTGAAGTGGAATAATAATTTCCCTCAAAAATAGATTTGGAAATACATGTTATGCTACCCTGCAGGTCTTTTCCCTGTAGACTTTTGTATTGTTCTTGAATTAAATGTACATTTTCAATTTTCATGTGCCGCAAGATAATTTTGGTCGAAGTTGTATTTTTTCGAATTTAACGCGTACCTAAGTAAATATAATCGATTCAAAATTAATCCTAGATAACCTCATGACTTTGTTAATTCATGCTATAAATCACTTTTTATTGTTAAAGTGTCCGTTTTGCATTTACAGAATTTTGCCGCCGAAGTTATTCGTTCTGACTGTTGGAAGATGTTTGCTTACTCGTTGCCAGCTTGCAGCCTTTTAACGCTGGATTTCATCCAGGCCACCGATGAAATATTCGTTCAACCCGCATTACATGACGAGGTTCGTGCCTTATCTTGCTATCCCTGTGTATTCCCGAGACAGCTTATTCATGGTACTGTTTTTTCCCAGTATTATTGTATTTTAAGTCGTAATTTTTTAATGCCATTTCTACAACCAAAAGTTATCATTTCGCTACAGTTAGGCTCAATTGTTCTAGTGGCATCCGCTCAGTACGATCCTTCCCTCGCAAGCAAATATTTGCTGCTTTTCTGCGTGTGTTTTTATATTGGACGGAGTCCATGATCCTTGCTGAATTCGGATGGCATTTTTGTATCTCGTTCAGATTCCCTTTGAAGACATGTAGGAATACGTACTCTGTTCCAAAAATAATGAGGCATCTTGACGACTTCTATGGTGGAGCATTGTGCAGATGTTCACTTAGGAAAATGCATTTACCTCGCCAACTTAGATTGTTCTCTCTGTGAAAGAATAGGTAGTCGGTTTCCGCTAACAATCATGTTGGCTACTCTCTCGATTCAACCTGGCATTTATAATACTAACGTGCTTAGGCCATGGCTGTACTTTCAGTACGATCTTATTTCAAAACACAATGCGCCATTTCTTTCAATGCTTTTTTTATTGCCATTTGAGTAAGAAAATTGTTTTACTTTGTGACGCCACTCGGGGTTCTATCCTGGCTATCTAATAGGTAATTCTTTGATTTTTTGGTCTGATAATTTACAGTACGACATTTATAACGAATTGTCCATTTTAATAGAATTAATCAAATTTGCAGTGCAATTTCATGACAGTAGCAGTAGCATTTTAATATAACAATCAAATTTACCAATAAATTAACAAGGACCCTTTTTCAAGACCGCGTAACAACCTGGAACCTAAGCGTTGTTCGTAGTGCAGCTTTCCTTGAGGCCGTTTGCCTCCCCATTACAGGATTTACGCGCTCAGGCAATGTCCGTTCTCGTTGCCCTTCTCCCCTTGCAACAGCACTTCGGGTCTCTGAAAGCATTCAAACCCTCCTTACCCGACCTGACTATTGGAGAGACTGGCAATGTTATGGTGAGTTATTTAGGAGGAGGGAGGCAAGCAGCCTCAAGTGGCTTTGCTTTTTGTACGTTGATAGTAACGGCCACACTTCTTTGTGTGAAATTGTAGATTTATACTTTTTTTATTAGTTGCTTTAGCATTATAATTGCCTATGTTGCATTGCAAGTTGATATCATTGCTTCGTGCCATTTGATTTTTATACTGGGAAGCAACCTCTGTTGCGCAACTCTATTACCTCTTCAAACAACTTGAATTTTAGTAGTTGTCATCCAAGGTTCATCAATGTATATTTCAATCACCGTATTCTGCATGTTTGGCGGTGACTAGACTGTCCAGCATAAAAACAATCGAATTTGAATTGACTCATTCCTTTCGCAATTGTTCCCTGCCCCCTAGCCCCTGCTGGCATCCAGGCTGTTTCGCGGGGTGGTTGCGGAGACAAGTGAAAAAGCGCGTCAGGTGGCAATTTGTGGTATCATGCATTTGTGCTTCGCAATTCTGATCAAGCAGTCGCCCTCCCGCATGTGCTCGGCAGAACAGGCCTCCACCGTACACACCGGCCTCGTGACTCTGCTGAGGTGCACGCGCCTCGCAAACAGGGCGGTCGCCCTCACGGCTATGGGCATGTTGCGTGCCCTCACCGAGTACTCTGAGGCCTTTTTCGACCTCAACCCAACATACCCCGCCCTCATCATAAAGGTGGCTCTTGCTAGAGTTGTGGCTGCGTTTGCCGTATTTGTCCTGTTAGCATTTGTTTTTTGTTGTAGACACTTGCTTGGAACCTGGCCTTTTTGTGGAGTCAGGTGCGATCAGAGGAAAAAATCTCACCAACATTTAAGATGGTAAGGTTAATGGTCCCTCTTTTTACAAAGTTAACTGTGTACTAGACTATTTGTCGTTAATTGGATGTAATAATTCCCCATCCGTCAACTACTCTTCCTAAATGTTTTCTCTTTCCTCACTTACACTGTGTGACATGTTGCAAAGGTCGATGTAACTCATTCTATTTCCGTAAATACTTTGCTTTTTACAATAGTGCATTTGCTTTTTGACAAATCTATTTCTCATTATCGCAAACTACTGTTCAAATTTCAGCATCCTATTCACTCTTGTAGCTTTTGACTGCAAACATCTCAGCGTTGATGGAGTGGACAGTGAAAATTCCACTACCACTGTTGACGTCTCCGTTTACCAATCTGAACATTGTGGACGACAGTAACCGGAAGCGGTCAAAGGAGATCACTTGCCTGTGGATTGTCTTTTCGGTGCTTGAGTACATCTCGTCCTCCACCTCATTGAGCCATTTGGAACCAGCCGGTCCCGGTTGGGTTCCTGGCTTTCCCCTTCCCGACCCTCTTGCTGATGAAGGCGAAAGCAAGGTTCGATCTACCATAGTTTTCCACATTTAAGTGTAGAATTGAAGTGTTTATATAACGTTGAGAGGATAGCTGATTGCACTCCTGATTGTGGTGTGGGCTGAAATGAGTCTTTGCGTGTAAAAATTCTATTTTTCGGTGATTGGTTTCTGTTGCCAAAACGCTATCTTGATTATTTATATTTCCCTGCCACTAAATTCTTTACTAATATATGTTATGAGATATATGCTTGTAGTGAGACATCCTTCATCTCCATCCTATTCCTGTGCTAGGTAACCTCTTGGTCCCTTCACGAAGCAATGACTTTCAGGTTGACGGAAAATCTGTTTTAGCCTTTTCTTATCGCCCTCTTTGGCTTTAGTCGCGCTTGTGGTTGTGTCCTTTCATTCTTTCCTTTTACGCACCATGATATTCTAGCCTTGTCTTAGCGAACATACTTCTTTTTCATTTGTCTTCTTTTCGTCGTTCTTTCCTTATATGTTCGTTTTTTGATTAAAAAGTGGTCGGATCAAATTTTTTATTCCCGTCGTTAGTTTGCAGAAGAAAACGCTGCTGAACGCCAACTTGACTCACTCGAGATATTTGCAGACCAAAGTTGCTTTCTGGCTCCAATCCCCCTGACTCCGGAATGTATTCGTGTTGCGGCGAGATTCGCACGATGCCACCTATTCAGCCAAATCGGTCGGTATCCTCTGGTAAAGCCTTTTGTCTTTAAGACCCTCTGTCGTTTGTGCAACATAATTCTTTGGCTTCTCAAATATCTCCTTTCTCTTTCTTTTGGGTATCCAGTGCCACGCTTACCCCGTAAGCCCTCTCTGGTGTCACGCTTTTGTACCAGGGTATTTTACCAGCGTATCTGGGTATTGTGTTGTAACATATTTCGAGCAGATAAGGTGTCGCCAACATTACGCGGAAATAAATTTGTGCGAAGTAATGGACTTATTTAAAATGTTGAAGGGACTCGCAGCGACTCCGTTTGAATGAAAGACGATGATGCCACGCCCACGCATACATTGTGCAGGGAATTTGATTTCTTGCGATTGTATAATATGTGACGTTAATTTTTAGAAATCTTGGCTGCTGCGCAATTCACATCAACTCATAAATCTCTTGATTTAGTCTTCTCCGTATAAGAGTGACAGATTATAATTTTTGAAACTTTTAGACCATGAGTTGTGTTAAATAGGCCTAAATGAACATGTATACATACAGCTTCGGCTTTTCATTGGAACCAACATCATTATGTTTCTGATTTATCGAAACAGGCGTTTCACTTTTTTTTAGTCAAGCACCAACGACGTGATTGATTCTCATGTTCAGGAGCACCACAATAGAGTGATCGATCCGAACAGTCTGGCTGAAGAACTAACATTTGATTATATTGATCAGCCAAATGTACAGATTTTTGTCGTCAATCGGTCCTTTTTGGTTTCACTTTTTACGGTCGATTCATTATCCACAAAAGCCAACTCCCTGGCCTGCCGAACCGACCAGGTCATTAATTCCGAATTGCTTCTTGAAGACACCGTCACAGGTACGCATATTATCAAACCCTGCCAAACCGCTGTAGGCCTTCATCTTTAGCAAATGTTAATTCTATGTGAAATCATTTTCTTTGCGGGATTTAAAAAGCTACTCTGCGTGACATAAAACACTGAAATCACGGACTGACATGTATTTTCCGGTAGTCTACATTACCATTAAGCAACCTCTTATATCAATCTTATCAGCAATAATCCACATTTTGTATGTCCTTTTAGATCTCTGTGATGTTCGTGTAATTGTGCGTGATATCTCGGGAAAGTATGTGTGGGATGCCACCCGCATTCAGGGCCTCCTGCAGAGAAAACCGCCCTCACCTCCGCCCCGTCAACGGCCAGCCTCCTGCAACGATCCCTCCATCACGATGCCCATCCACACTGACCTTCAGTCAACGCCATCAGCCGGGACCGGTGATCAAAGCATCAGGGCTAAGTTCGACTTCCTCTCTGAGGCACGTCCACACACGTGGGCCGTAGAGTATGCGATTAAGATGACTTATTATCATCATCATTAAGGCCCGCACCGTCTAATGAATAGCATTTGTGAATTGGTCAGTAAATAAATTATTAATTAGTATCGTTGATGTATAAAGCCCCAATTTTCAAAAAAGTTAGAACTTAGTTTATTGATTCAATGCACTGATAAACAATGTTCAACAAAGCAGTGTCTCTCGGTGTCGCTTTCACTAATAAGCATGTCGTTTTTACAAGACGCCGGAACGTCTGCTGGTAACATGGCACTGCCGTGTCTATTTTTTGCTCTTAAGTATAAAATTAGTTACATATCTTGGAGCTCTAGCCCCAATCTGTTGACCGACATAAATCTTACAATATATACCAAGACTTCTACCTATTGAGTCAAGCCTTGATGGTGGATGAAATCAGTTTTCGTGTTTTGCAAATGTCTTTTGTCGCCGTCCTCCAGCTACTGGAAGAATTGGCTTCTAAACATCCGGATTTCCGGTCGCAGATTGCAAGCGAAGTGTCTGAGGAGGCTAGTCTGGCCAAGACCAGCAAACATTTATTTGATCATTCTTTCGAGAAGCTGGCCTGTGAACGGATTACCGCAGCTAAGATGTACGAAAGCCAAATTCTCGACCAACGTCCCGAAGTCCCTCCATTGTAAGTTATGTTTTAACAAATTCTTCGGCGTCTTGCAGCCTATGATATTTACATGCTGTCTTAGTTGTTCATTGCAAATTTGTCACGCGTTATTTTCACAGATTTTGTTTGGCACGTTCAGAAATCATGATTGTGGTACTTAGATTAATTGCCTATCATCGTCGGCTGGCAGTAGTTTCCTTTCACTACCCTGAGTAATGCTAAAATAATCACCCTTTTCTTTTCTGTTTAGGAATTTCTACGGAACCTCTTGTCAAGACCTGATAAACACGGCAGAAATGGAACGGTGGTCTGGATTAAACCAACAATATACCATAGCTAAACGTCTGCTGTGCCAACTTGGATTTCTGTCGCAAAATCGGCGACCTTCTCTAGAATTGTTGAATAAGTCTTGGGGGCTTGTGCGAGAAATAAAGAACTTGGACAAACAAAGATCGTAAGCTTTCAGACACGCGCTTTACGTCCCTTGCCTACTATTATCAGAATGTATTTTTTTACTCTTGGGCCAACGAAAAAAGCAAACTGCCATCGTTTTAAGTTTTGTCCGTTAATGAATCCCCTTGGGAAAACGTTTAGTTTGTAATGACATTGAAGTTTCAAGGCTGTCGATTTGAATTATATGAATTAATCGGGAGTAGTTAATAGCGAAGGAATATAATATTTTGTACCAATTCCACCACTTAAAGTCACATTTTCTTGATATCTCTGCCTTATGCGCTGTATTCACAGGCGTCAAACATACAAGATTGCCCTGGTATACGTTGGCCCCGGACAAGAGGAGAAGCAGGAAATTTTGTCCAACCCACAAGGTTCCCTTGAATTCGAGCGCTTTGCCTCCGGTCTTGGCTGGCATGTTAAATTGGCTGATCATCAAGGCTTTACTGGGGGATTGCAGTTCCCTGTGGATGGTGAGACGGCTACCTACTTTTCCACCTCCACAATCGAGGTCATTTTCCACGTCTCCACTCAGATGCCATCAGCAACTGACGAAGACAGGCATCGAATGGTAAGTCTAGTGATTTTTGCTTGCGGTTTATTACGGAATGATACGGGACTTCAGATTTTACTCCAATTGCTTACGTTATTATTTGTGAATACCTTTTACCACTCTTTGGTGATTAATGGCGATTCATCCGCCAGGGTTTTCGATTTGAAATTTCGAAGCTTCCCTTTGTGACCGACTCCTTGTTGCCCAGACTACTATACCTGAAGTCTTTGTGTTATTCTCTGGAAGCTCGTGTTGCTAGGCTTAACTGATCTCCCTGATGCTAATTTATTGCTTTCAAAGACGTTACAGTGTCCGCATGTCGTTAATATCCATTTTGTCAGTCATCCATCCTACGAAACCCGATTCTCTTCACTTTTTTTTAGTTCAAGCACCTTGGCAACGACGAGGTGATGATCATTTGGACTGAGCATTGGCGTCCATTCCGAAGAAGTAGTCTCCGTACGGAGTTTGGTGACGTGCTTATTATAATCTCGCCACAAAAAAGTGGTCTATTTCGTGTGGAGATACGCAAGGAGCCGGAGGTAATTTAAACAAATTAAGAGCATTTGTGCCGTAGGAATAGCTTAAGATACTGAACTCTAAACGTCCATCTGCTTGAAATGTTCCACTATTTTTGTACTCTAGCGACTAGTACCTCGTTGTTAACATTGATAACCCATTTTGTCGCGTACTTGACGCCACCTCTTTTTTACCCCACAGGTGCCCTTTTTCGGCCCCCTCGTCGATGGGACGCTAGTCGCAGAGGATCATCTGCCATTTTTAGTCCGAGCCACCGCAATTCAAGCCAGTAATGCACTAAACTCAAGGAAACCAAATTTCAAGGAACAGTATCCTTTTTTAAAAGAAAATTAATGTGTTTTGAGTACGACGTGTCCGGTTCCACTGTAGGTAGAATTGTTAATGCAGCAGTGTTATTTTCGCCTTAACGTTTGCAATTTAGCTTTGAGGAACGGTGTTTCTACCTGCAATCAATAATCAACAATCACACGCAAAACACCGCCTTTGAAGATTTCGTCATGCAAGTGGCCCTACCGAAACTCCCTCCCGGTACTACTCTTTAAGGCTCAGTCTTATCCCCTATGAACACTGCGCAATCAAAATAGGAAAGTTTAAAATTAATGTAGAGTCCACTTAGTTTTTCCCACACGGAGTGATAACTTAGACATTAATAACTAAGCTTCTTCGTGCACCATGGCAAGTAAATATCACCCCTGACTTATAATGTCCTGATTTCTACTTCATGAATTCTTCTAGTCCAGTCGAGTAACCAAAATTAGTGTAACACTCGGTGCTGACTCCAACACGAGAAGTGTCTTTTTCTCGAAGGTCAGTATGATCAAATCTCCCCTTCCTTGCTATGGCGAAGCTGCATTGTCTTGTTCGATGTCCTTCACTGCAATCACCCAGCCGTCAGTGTCACAGTATTTTTTACTCTTGATCTGCTGCTCCAGATATGAGCGTCTTGTTCCCGGACTTTCAAGTTTTGGTTAGGGAGGGGATTTTGTGAAAACCACAGCAATGGCTGTTATTCACTTAAATCTACCATTTTCAGAACCTTGACAACGCAAATCTGACATAAGTAAGCTAGATCATGTATTGACGTGATGTGTGTGAGAGGAAGGAAATTGGCAGCTAAGGTAACCAGTTGGTTAGGGGCTACTCACTTCCCATTGGGCAATGGCTTACTACCTTTTTCTAGATCAAGAAGATTCGAACCGCGGAGCTACTGTCTTGCCATCGCTTTATTCGAATAATTCGGTTTTTCCTAACATAGATCCAATGCGATCTACGGGCGTCCCACTGAAAGGTATTTTACATTGACCCCATTTTGCAGTTCCTTTAATGAATCTGTACTTTATTATAATGCTGACATATAGTTTGGTTTTTATTCACTGATAAGACTTTCTTTGAGGCGAGAAAAGGCTGATATTGTTTATGAAATTCCGAAGTATTTTTTTACATTTATTGAGTTCCATGGAAGCTGTCGGCTTAGGTAGAAAATAGGTGTTTTAAATTACACACAGTGGCTCAGATTTAACCGAACTCAAATCATTGAAATTTGCAAGTAAATCGAACAAAATTTATTGCATAATCATACAACAAGCGTAAAGCATTATTCTCAATTCACATACGACATCGCTTAATAGCAGTAAAATTTTGTCACGTTTATTTGTAATTTTGCTAATGATTGGGGTTCGGTAACATCTGGGCAGCCCTGTGTAGTTCTGTTGCGTCTATTTTCAGATCTCAAGGTAGCAGAAAAAGTGACCTCTGAAAAACGTCTAGTGGTCATATTTATTAGTATTATTCACCCTAGGCTTAACCATCTAATGCAGTGTGTATTTAAGATCAACTAAATATTCATGTTTTAGCAGATTGGTTGCATTTTCACCTTTAGGTTTAAAGATCTGACACTTCAAATAATTGTGTAATAAATTGGCTTTCAAAAACACCTACGCAAGTCACAAGGCTGTATTTATGGGAAGGGATCGACGAGAGTCCAAAACAATTTTTCGCTTTTTGTGAGGGTAAATGCACATATCCTTGCCGGCTCGTTACTCACGTGGGGGCGTATTTGGGCCTTTGAGAACCTCTAGCCACTGGCTCCGATATTTGATGTTTCAAAGCCAGCACATCAAGTTCTAAGTCGATGTAAAAGCCAACTAGGGGACCTAAGTGAATTCCTACTCTTGACGTGGTGTTTGCGGTTGTCGAAATTCCTGATTTCGATTCTATCGCGTTCTTTCTTATCTGTCATCTTCCGCCCTTAATTCTCCACTTTTGCGCACCGTCTTTTTAGTGTTTACCCAACACACCTGAACTGCAGTACGCATCTCTTCGGGTTCCCGTTTGTGTATAATTGTGTGTCCACGTTGCCTGCTGATATATTTGTTGTTTTAATTGTCTTTTTGGCTTGTGTTTTGCTTCTTATTGCTTGCTTTCATCCGCTATCCTAGTACGCTTTTGTGATTTGCTCATTAGTTGTCATTCCCATTTCGTGGAACCAATCATGGTTACTTCTCACCATAAATTTTGCACTTTATAGCCATTTCCATGCGGTCATCGTAAACCGCTCTTGGTAAAAATTGCCGCGCAGTTCGTGCAAGAAATTATCTGTCATTGCAGCCAGACGGTAGAATCAATTAATTACCAAAATTAAATGAGCCACATCACAGTACTCTATTGCGGTGAAGCTCTCCTCTATTTGTCACCACCGCTCTTCATTCGTGTGAAAGTTAAAACAACCGTCTGATATTGTCACTTTTTTATAGGTCCTATTTCTGACCTCTTACCAAATTTGGTACAAACAAAAATAATGTCTGAGGCAACAGGTTACTCTGTTGCGATCGTCCGTATTTCGTTGGTGGCTTCCAATTTAGACTGGTCAGGCTTCGGCTACCTATATTTTTTGGTACTCAAATACCTTACGTGTTCTTACACTTAATTTGTTTCCTTTTTCACAGAATACAATTTAAAGTCGAAGATTATCTGAAAAAGGGCATGAAAGCTGCTGTTTTGTAATGTGGCTGAAGGCAATTTATTAATGTTAATGTGCATGTCAATTGCGCTTGATTATTGCTGCATCATCACAACGGTTACTTTAATTAAAAACATCTTCTTAAATTAGAAATCTCGCCGGTTGTTCGAATAAGACGCCGTGCGCGCAATCACAGCGGAAGTTGCACAGAAGAGGCAGGAGATGCCGTAGCCCCGATCCCTGCTAGCACAAACTCCCACCGATCTCACCAAGAAAACTCCCCAAACATCAAAATCCCTCCATCTGAGCATAACCTCTCCTCTATTGACTCTTCTAGAACAGACGCTTTAACCACCCTTGATAGCCCCACAAATGTTCCCTTAACAACGAGTACTTTGGCGCCTGTTAAAGACCAGTCACGACCATCTATCCTAAATCGAATTTCACTGCGCCACAAACGGCGAAGCGCAGGAGCACAGGATCGCAGGTCTTCTATTAGCAGGATTTTTGCCGTCAGTAATCGTTGATAACGCTCACACCGAACATATCACTTTCCAGCCATCTACACTCCAGAACGCACTTGTACCTCCATTCCGTCCAAGCTTCTTGTGATGGTCCTATACCTCCTATCCGCTATTTTAACGTTTCTCCTTTTCTTATGACAAACAACGGATGTAATTGAAGAAATCTGACACATCAACCTCATGCACACATGCTCCGGAGACATTCCACTGCTGTGACGTGCATTTGTAATATACAACAGAAAAAATTGGAACGCGGGAAATCTGTTTTGCTCACGGTCTATCAGTGCCTTTGGCGCGTGTTACTAGGACATATGGTGGAAATTGTTTTCTGTACATGCAACATTCATAATGACGAACTTATTTCCTGACTTGTGAAAAATAATGCTGGCCAGGTCGAGCGTTTAGACTCCGCGTTGATTCGTAGGGCTGTTACATAATGTGTAAATTGGGTTGGTATGAAACTAGCAAAAGGACGTGATAGCAGTGTTAGTGCCGGCCCAAAGTCTTGCCTGTTAGAAAGTGAAGCAAATGTAGAACGATGGGCACGATTAATTTTGCTTGGAATTTCTACATAAAGATGCTTCAATCGACCAGTAATTTGGTTCTGTTACTGGTTCACTTTTTATTAAGCCAAATCTTCTGATTGGAGCAGCCAGGAATTATGTTTTGGAACTTAAGCATTCTTTACTTTTTGATTGCTAACATTCCGAAGAATACATCTGTTCAAAACAGCAAATGGGTGCGTGACCATCCAAATAAGAATCAGATTAGTAATTTGTGGAGGTTCCCAAGGACATAAATCTGTTTTTCAGGATCGACATAGCTTTGAACGAGCTGAACTACATAATCACACATGTATACCAATCAGGCTGATGTCAGTAGCCTACTTAAGCGTCTCAGCAATAGATTTTTGGTAGTTTTGTGTACCATCGGAAAACCAAGGCTTGAAGTTAAGGACAGCACTAATTTCCTTTCATTATGCATGCTGAATTCCTAATTTAGACAAAGTATGAACTTATTCATGCTGCGCACATCGCACATTAAGTAAATGACTGTATTCTCAAGTAAATTTAAGAACATTTCTTGTCAACGACAAAGATACAACAGTAAATCGTTAAGGATAGTTTATTTAAAAATCCGCGATAGGTCAACATTCTTAGTATTTGGCACATGTCTTATGGTTATAGAAACCCTTGTTTCACGCTTTAGTGGACACACTAACTCATCCAAAGAGGGAATTTGATCGAAGTTGAATAACTTCTTTTCAATAAAACCGTCACTTTCTGCAGACAATATCGATTTGTCATGTATCTGCAATTGTGGCAGGATATCGCATTGCCGCTCCTCGATTCCGTGCATATAATAAGTATACATACTCCCCGTGATAATATTCAAACTTCGAGGCATTAAAAGCGCGGATCCAACATACCGGTTCGATAATGATGCATTCTTGATAACGCATAAGATATAAACGGCAGTAAGGGTATAATTATGTTAAAAACAAGTGTGGTGGTGACCATCATAGTAGCTAATTCAATGGGAACTCGAAGCAAAACACGATGGAATATATTCACGATATATGGCAATTTCTGACCTTGTTCAAGTAATCAATTGTTTCACTTTAGGGAATTGTGTGCTACAGTCTGCATCTGACAAGTATTTTTGAAAACTAAATTCTAGTGTGTAAATCCCACCTTATCCCATCGACATTGGGCGATACATAAAGTTTGTGAGAATATATTGAGGCTCGATAGCCCGACTTCGATTTTATAATAGTGCAAAACTAAGCCTTTATTGCTAAGGCAAATGAGTGCGTGGCTTGAAAACATCGTATTTCACATTCCAAGTATGTAAACTAACTAGACATTAATTTCGAGTGGGAAATATAGTACTACGTCATTTTCCGACGTTAAAACTGAAGCTAATTGTAGAATCTTGACAGCCAGGTAAAACAACTACAACCGAAATTACAATAATAATACTACATGTAAAATTTGTAAAAAATGCACTTACCTCTGCTCCATTCGCAACGGGTCTGTAAAAATCTAGCACACTATGTCCACCCAAGTTTACGGTTGTGACGACTGGGTAATAAAGTGGACCATCATGATGGGGCTATGACAAAAGCTTTAGGGCCATTTATATCCACTAACCATTATTCCTTGACCAGGTTTATATTCGTTTATTAAAACATGATTCGCCCGATTGGGTCCAAAAACACCCAAATTCGTGACTCGGTCCATCAGATTAGAGAGCCACTAAGACAAATGGCATAAAGCGAGAATTGACACTACGTCTGGAATCTTCTCAGCAATCATTCCATTTCGTTGTGGTATTCCACCCCAAATTTGAAGACGTCGATTGGAAAGGTATCGCCATTGTCCCACAGCATAGATTTTATGCAGAAGCTCTGTTTCCATTTCTGTATTTATGAAGTCAGGAACATAGAAGAATGTTTTTGGTGCAGTCCGTACAAAATATCTTACAACATCGACAGGCCAACCACAAAGGACATCTAAAAACATTAGAGACTGATAACTTACAATGTTGAAGTAAATTCACGTATTTCAATAAATGTGACAATGAAATTATGGTGTGACTTTGGTTCTTATAGGAAACCAGTAGGATGGATCGATGAGACTGGCATGATATATTTAGAAAGAATTACGTGCTACATGGTTTGTGGGCTTACCAAGCTCTGTCTCGAAACCACCACTCATATGGCAAAACACCTACAGACACCAACTGTAAACAGCGCGCCAGTTATTGGGTTGTCCTTCAAAGATGGCACACCTTTATGGATGAATTACAGTCAAAAAAGCATCTGACTTCAAATTATATCATAGCCAAAATATTTTATTCACATACAATTATACTGACATCTTGCCACATCGATAACTTTTACTCATTGTGTACCTTTAATCGTCTACATTCGAGCCGCTTAATTCACAATCGTGTTCAAGAATGGATTCAGACGTTTATACTAGGCCACCTGAGGGTCATGGATCGGGTAGGGTTGGCTCCTTTTTTTCGTTACATTTGTTTGCATTTTAGTTGACTCTGTCACAAAAAAATATTTGAACTTGTCATCTAACGAGCAGTAGATTTTTTCCTTTTCCCGTGATTTGTGGTTGGTACCATACTCAGTATCACTATTTGTGATGTACAATCAAGTCTTCATCGTTTTTCGAAAATTAAAGCTTTTTAGTTTTGGTAATGTGTGTAATTGACCAAGTTCGGCAGCTGACATTCCGGTGGTACTACTTCAGACATCTTGATTTCATTTATATTCCACTGGCCTGTTTAATCGACTCAAATGGTTAATATTCCTGTTTTTACACTATTGTTCATTGCTAACTTATTGCTATTTTCTGAGATTGTACTAGCATTATTTCCATCTAGTTGGTTGTATGATGATGAGTGAACCCAATGCAACACACGCTTTTATTTTGGGTCATTCGTTTATGGAAATGCGATACCGTTATAAATCAATGCATATGTGTGTTTTTGTGTTCATATCTGCTAAATCCGTTTTTTAGAGCGTGCTTATCGACGAAAGCGTCCTGGTAGAACGGATGCAGAAAACTTAGATACTGCTGTTTCTACCAAAAAGTCCCTTCGTCCCAGGAGCCTGATTAACAAATCTAAACTTCAGAGTGGCTCATCCAATTCCAAATGTAGATCTCGACGCCATGTATTTAAAACAAACGTATGCTCACCTTCTGCATCGATAATAGTTTATTTAGCCTTCGAAGCTTGGTCCACCACAAGCTTTTATTCGTCTTGAGAATCGCGTTTTGAACAAGGTTCGTATTCTTTTTTAATTTATTTCTCCTTAGGGCAATTGGCTGCATATAGGTGACATAGTTTCAGTAACGGATGTTGAAGGAGGCCAGTACTATGCCCAGCTGCGAAGCATTATTGTAGATAATTTAGACAATGTGTCGGTAATTTTGACTTGGCTTGTTCCGACCACCGAAGCTACAAGTGGAAAATTTGACTTAGCACATTACGTAATAGGTATGAAGTGCTTACATATAAACAACTTCTCAGGCATGGAGGAAGATTTACCCAGACACATTGATTGTGTCATGTTTGTCTGTCGGTGTTCCTCGGACTACTTTAGGCCCATCGACACCCCTTATACTATACAATCTTGGAATAAAGTAGACCAGGGTCCAGAAAAGTAGTTGGCCTTGGTTTGTACCTTTTAATTTGCTTGATACTATATGTGTATGAATGACAGTTTTGAAATCTCATTTTGGAGGCAAGATGTAGATATCTTCCTGAGTATGTCAACCGTAGAACTTTGTACTTTTTGTACAATTCTCTTTACAATACATATCCTTTTAAAAGCTATTGCTATGTTACATTCGTTGCTCTGCTTTTGGAACCACAGTAACGTTCAGTGCAGGCGTCTTTTGAATACTTTGCGTTGGTTTCGTTCAAAGAAACTGTGTGTTTACAGTCGTCAGAAATGCCTAACTGGACGTGTCAATTGTAGTGTTTTGCAGGACAGTTCTACGATGCGTGTCTGTACTTTGTGTAGGACCTGTATCTTTGGCAGCTACATCAGTTGTATAACGAAGTGTTTACGGAGCCCTAAGTTTGTAAATCCTGATAATACTCCTAATTGGTATTACCACTGGATGCTGAATTTAGAGCCGATTGACGCTTTGAACTCACATCACACACACAAATCGTCTTAAGCTTCTCACAGTCACAATAAAGGTAGTTGTGGATCATCATGATTTAGCGTCGTGTTACGAGTTAAATGTGAATGCATTTCCTTAAACCTTAGCCTAGCGTTAAAAATAGGAGTTGCATTATGAATCCGATTTCGAAAAAAGTAACGGATGAGCTTGTTCCGCATACGGTTACGAACCCACGCCAACGCATAGTTACGCAACTTAATCGAGAATTACTGTCTCCTAGTACACACTCATCCGCTGCAAAGTTATATTGTCGTTGTCGGTATTACAGCATCTTGTGAGCATTGGCTTGAGCTCAGGTATTTTCGACCAGAAATATTCTTAATATTTTGTTCTAATGTCCTATACACCTAGCACTAGAAGAGGAAGTGTTAAATGTGCAAAAAACATGGAAAAATACTACTGATGCCTCGTAAACATTCACGGCGTGGACAGATTAGAGCAACGAAACTTCTGCGGAAGGTTAGCGTACCGAAGCCGCAGACCTACTACATAATGTGAAAATCCTCGAAGCCCGAACAACTATTCTCTAACATACAGCTAGAGCGTTTAAAATGCCCAAAGCAAGACTGTGTACAGGTGGAAATCACGAGAGACTTCAGCCCGCATCTGACAAAGATTGCCCTAGTTGTCTATTCGCTGACTTCTAATATGCCCAAGTTTAGGTTAACACCAAGCTAGCGTACAATTACCTCAGATCAATCATACTACGGCATTCATAATGTTAGATAGTACACTTCTCGCTCAATTTAGAGAAGCAAACTTATTTCCACTAAGAAAATTAAAAAAACTGGCTGAATAGCCAGAAGTTTACACTTCGAAACAATTTTCGAGATCCACACCAATTAAAATTTTATGAATGAACTAACGCGAATGCAATACCACAGAGAATGATGCGAGCTATATTTACACAAAAGAAAGTTAGCACGTAGTATAAGAGCTACATGTTACAAAAACTACGGTCAATCGAATGATTTCAGAGATCACATTTCTTCTGAACTTTAATTATATGCGACTGTAGTGGTAACGGCTGCTTGAATTCACTATTGCAGTTTGATATTCCCATACCAAGACCAAATCCTGTTCCAAAAATCAAGGGCCACGGACGACCTACCTCAGTGATTATCGAAAACTTACATTACTTACGTCGAGCAAATAACACCGAAACAATTATGCCCACAGAAACACCGGTGCCTACCAAATGCAACTTGCCATATGCATCATACCTGTTTTAATCAAAATATCGGAAATACAACGATCGACCTTCCTGCCGAGGATATCTTCGCTGTTTTCTTGGCCAGACATTGCACGCAAATGCTCTTAGAAGCTAACCAATCAATCATCGACTATGCTTTATTTTGTTGAGGCGAATAAATTGATCTTTGAAAACCTGTATGTCATTATAATGCATACAAATTAATTAATCACAGTACGTTTAAATACGTTTCTATACGGGGACAATGGCCATTAAAATCCCTATTTAAATTTGTGCCGGATTAAACTAGGGCGAAGAAAATATCTGAGTGACCTTTAAGGAAACGAGGAAAAGTAATGCACAAGTCGCAATTAGGAGGGTTTTAAATAACTGACAGAAAATTGTTTACTATAAGTTTCCCTTATGCAGTAGGGTTCTGATTTATTATTTCGGAAGGTGAATTTAAGCTGCTTTCTTTTAGTTCACTTTATAATCGAAAAATTCACATTAACATATTTCAGTTTCCTCGCCGTTATTTTCTCTTTGTCATAATTTGCAATTTGATAAGCCTGTTAATATATAAGGCTTGCACATGGCTTTAAACTTGTCATTTCCCAGTGGAGTACATTTCCAACTCTGCCGCATTCTGCGTTGTTCTGATTGTGTCTTCACGTCATTATTAAAAATATATAGCTTGGAGAGACCGGAAATTATTTATACAGGTTTTGCGTCACCTAAAAAACCCTGTATTTTTGAATCAGTACAAAAAATTTATTGTAGTAAAGGGAACAGCCCTGCATATGTTGTTAATACCGATAAGCATTGTTGTGTTTAGACGAAATTCTCAATAAATAATCTTAGCTAATATATAAGCATATGCCAGCTCATTTTAACACGTGAACTAATTTTCGCATGGACTAATATAGGTTATATCCGGGGAAATAGATGAGTTCAGGTAACAACTTAGTTATATATTTAGTGGCGTTGGAAAACATTTCCTTGGATAAAGAGAATAAAATTTGTAGGGCCATGAATACACTTAATAGAACTGGTGTTGTTGTGACCTAAAATGGTCCTAGAATCCCTAATTTAACTGACGTTGTCTGTAAATTAATAGCGGCTTAATCTAATAAATTTACTGTTTCCTGTCCGCTATTTTGAAACATCAATATATTGTTATAAAGGTAGCAAACTTTACAGTTCCAACTCATCAGCAACATTAGCAGTTCTTACTATTGAAGTCGTTTTATGGTTATGTCACAAGGATTTAAAAGTATTACACTTTGTAATTTCTGCTTGAAATAGGTCGAGATCATTGTTAAACATTTTTATTTGCCTTAAATTCAATTGATTCGCTTCTGTTAATTAAATTCGTCTACTTAAATTTCACCACGGTGAGTCAGCTGTAATTAGACTTTGTTCGGCAATGTAAGAGCTTATTAAGTCGCTGTCTTCGGGTGCGATACTTACTAAGCGCAAATTTGAACTGGAGAAGAATGACAACTTATTTAAAAGCAGTGCTTGTTAATTTTGTTTTGGTTTGGCATTTCCTAAGACCTGGTCGTCGTATGTCCTCGTAAAACAAGTGTGCCTTACAGTATCTACTTCTTAATGCACTGTCATTACTAGCTAGGAAAATCGACAACAAATGCAAAAATGGTGTTTTAGTGAACAAATTAAAAGCCTTGTCTTCCATGAACCGTCGTGTAACACATGAATGAGCTAGAATACGTCATTTTTTCTCCATGTTGGACTTTATGACGATATTTCGCCAGTTAGAAATTTGGCTGATAACCGAAACGCCATCGACCGACTGTAAATTGATTCGTTCGTTCCATATCAGCTGGCGCCTGACGATACAAAAACATCCCTAACAGTTGACACATTATTCGCGTCGTTAAGTTGATTCAATCCATTGAAACAAACACACAATCGTAATAATTATCGGCAGTCTTGTCAGCATTGATAAACGATGAAGGGAAAAACATTTATTAGGCTCGGTATTACTTATAATCTACAGTGTAAGATGCATTTAATAATGATGCACTAAAATTTCCAGTGGATTTGTTTTTAATGATTCAGGTTTTTAATTAGGGAGCTTTCTGGTAGGCCAATGTAATTCCACAAAAGCACAAGGTTGATTAAATTTAATGATTAGCGATTTGTTTCTTGGTTAGATAAACCGTAGGCAAACGAGTTTAGCTTGTATTTATCAATGGACGCAATTAATTTTTTCGGTAAATTTTTGTTTCAAAGAATTTTAAGACATGCAAGTGAATGAAAAAATTGAAGCTAATTGCAAAATTCAGCAGCACAGGAAAAGTGTTAATGTCATTTGACCTAGCGCTGCCTAAATGCATCACCAACATGACAAAGGCAACACTAGCATATAAGACGACTACAACGGGAATCCGAATTTTATGGTTTGATAAGAGCACCCCTGTCATACTTTGTTTGGACTTTCATTTAATTAATGTACTTAAGTATTTCTGCCCAATGCATGTTTTAAATTTTGGATACACAGAAGACTAATGGGTTTGGAGATAGTTAAAACTTCATTATCACAACCCCCTTTGAAACGAATGCAGGCATGCAATGCATTTTCATACATAGATTTATCGACAAGAAAATGGACTCAGCGCATTCATATTGCTTGGTCGATGCGTAATGAGGCCTCCCGCATATGCTATGCACAAAAAACAACCTCTACCTAATTAGGACTGTTTCGTAGTCTCAAGTAGGAAAATTCCAATTTAGTTGACTCGAAGCACGCTTATTTAATGTGAGTAGTTGGAAAAATACTAAAATAGGAAAATGGCGCCCATTTAGGCTGAGATATGTTCTTTTGACAGTAGGTAAGCGGCTCCAGCAGTTAAAAAAGCAGAATCACTCACAACAATCTGAAAGTTTAAAATAAATTTGAAAGCAAATCCTATAGCATATCGCTGTTTTTAGCAGAACTACATTGGTACTCGTGGCAACAATTAAAAAAGTCTGGAAACTTTCTAGAATTATTGCATTCCTAACTATTTGTTCACTTCACTTGTCGTAGCTATCCGTGCCCCAAACCTTAGCTCAAATAAAATTATAAACTATTCCTGTAACAAATGTGTTACTTCAAAGAATGTACCAAGGACAAGTAAAGTTCCTGTAATCTCATGAAACTTGGTTGTAAATTCAAGTCTTCCTTATCAAAACTCGATGTTCGTTTCAAAAATATGTTTGCAGTAAAGTCGGCATAAAATCACTACGCTATAATGCCCACCTACATTTTTGGGAGTAAATTAGTTAAAGAACATATCCTTGACAAACGAGCTGAGTAAAAATTATATTACAAAATGTGCTATATACATCTAAATAGGCAAATGCTTTGCAGCAGAATAGTTCGTTAAAATGTTAGTTAAGCAAATTAAATCATGATCAAAAAGCTTAGGACCACTGATAAATTTGAAATCTAAATAAATATTCTGGCGATTACAGGTTATTAATAAAGTTCAGTTCGAACCTCGCATGCGTGAAATGCATTGCTGAAAGGTAGAGCTGGGCAGTACAATGTGTCCAAACCGAGTGTTTCTTGAAAGTCAATCCCCCTCGTATCAGCTACGACTGCCTCAAACCGTTTCGGCCTATGAAGTACCCGCCCGCCCAATGCGACTGAAGTTCAACAAGCGAATCTTTCGAAATTGATAACCGGAGATCAACTACGACCACGGAATGAAAAAACTGTCAAGTCTTGTGGCTAGTCCGAGACAACGGGATAAAATTGGCCAAGACGAGCCCGCCTTATGACGGCTACATACACTATAGTATTTCAGAAGGAAAGCATATGACAGAGAAGGGCAATCACTGATTTATTTCTTAAATATCAGTGACGTAGGATACATGTTAATCGAGCTAAGGTTTTCTGGTCCTTCCCTTTACACGACGCCAACCGAAATTTGGTTCAGTAATTGAGAGGCGATGGAAACCAGCGACACGGCAGGCAGAACGACCCCATTGCCAATTAATGGGCTGAGTGCCTCAGAATCTATAACGGCCAAACCAATTCTTTTACATTTTCACACTTAAGCGGACAAACCCGGCCTTTGTGCAATGCAGGAGTTCTGATAGTACACTATAACACAACCATGGGGTGTGTAGAAGTCGAACATCGATCACACCAGCTAACGTAGACTATCCACTCACAGCTTTCAGATTAAATCATGACTATCGGAGTTAACCAAATATGCAGTAGAAAAAAAGCAACAGGAAGTAAGGAAAAATAGGGATTAAATAATGTATACGATAAACCTCTGCAAAATTGGTAAAATAATAGATCACAAACAATTTTAAGATAAAATTTATCCAGTATACGTGTGTATGCCTGTTATGTACAGAGGGCAGTGCTAGTACAGAATGCCAAGCGATTAATGTTGTGATGTGGAGTCGGGCCCTGAATTGTCAGCGCCATCAGCGGCTTCCGCGTCATTGAATGGGATACGCGGAGTAGCTTCGCCGGGAGTAGAGTCGGGATTAGTTGAGCTGGGAGCACAGGACACCGTGCTTGTGATAACTTCGGACTGGAAACAATCACTAGGGATATTAATAGTTGGCGTAGGGCCTAACAACTCAGACGTGGGGTCGGCAGTGTGTGTTGCAGGAGATACGACTGAGTAGCTAGGTGTCTGGGGACAGTACCTAACGGGAGGTGGCCCTACAGGTGCCCCGGAAAGGTCAGAAAGAGCGGGGGAACCCCTCCATAAGTGAGCTTCATCACGGCAGTCGTTCCGTATTGATGAAGGTGTTGCGCCGTAAGACTTAGAACAAAGTATAATGCTCCGCTGAAAAGCTTCGTTTGGGCGCGGAACCTTAATTTTATCAAAGTAAGAAAAACCGATGTCGAGGAGAAGGGGTTCTAAATTCGATGGATCGATTGTCAAAGTTTTGAAATTCTCCTGTTGCTTGGCCTAGGACAAATAATTAGGAGTAAGAAAATGAACAAACCGTAAACCGGGTCTTCTTATAAGAAGCCTTTGGCTGGGGTTCGAGCAAAAGGTGTCCACCAGGCTTCAAGAGGTTAAATACCCGACGAAAGAAGCGCATCAACCCAGCATCGCCATAGTTTAGGTGAATCCACTTGGTAACACTAAAGGCGAGTATAGTATTATATGTAGGATCGTCATCGGTAGATATAGATTCACTCCAGTCGGCCACCTGGAAGTTTATCTTCTCAAACTTTGAGCTACTTTGAGGTCCCCAACGAATTCTCTCTCGTTGCATATTCTTTGCGTTTTCAATAAGCTCAGCATCGCAATCAAATGCATCGATTTTGTGTACGTCAGGGAACTTCTCAAGGATTCTGAAAGTCAGGGTTCCATTGTGGCACCCATAGTCGGCAACATCACTGTTAGAGAACCACTCTGGCATAAGAACTTTAATTCGCTCATCCGGATCTCGCCGACAGTAATAATCTGGATAGTTGCCTGTTATGGGCAGACGCTTTCCTTGCCATCGCATTCGTCTCGTACTTCTTGGAAAGGACCCACGACCACGAAAAGGAGTCGCTTCCCTGTTTCTTGCACGCTTGAGAACCATTTGGGTCCAATTCGAAGTCAATGATTCTCCAGCAGCAGGACTGCTACAGCTGAGCTCACCACTGATGCTCAGTGCAGGGGTATTGAGGCGAGAATCGCCATGAAGTGGAGACAACCCCTCGGTTCGGCGTCTGTCTGTCTCATTCATTAGATCTTGAAGATTTAATGGGTCACTTGGGTTAAGAGAAGGCCTTTTAATGTAGTTTGAGCCCCGACGTCTCTTCTTCGAGGGAAAATTTAATCGAATCGCAGATAAACGTGGCTGGGAGGCATTGAAATGGCGTAGATGCCGACCAGAGCTTTGTAAGAAGGGGCGTGAGCCGGGGGCCCTAATAGGAACTCGTTCAAAAGTGCAGTTATAAGTCCCCGGTGCCCCACGCAATAACCAATTATTTTGAACTCCTCGAGGAGAAGGTGCAACCGAACGCCACCTCCAAATAGATGAAAAGTGAACAGGGACGTCTGCTTGTTGTGGCACCTTTAAAGGCAAATTTTCTAAAATAAAACGCATTATACTACTTACAATCGACCTATAAGTAGGAACAAAGCAGACAGGAAAAGGATTTAAGATTAAAAAGCATAAAAAGCAAAAATTACGCTCAGTTTTGCATGAAAAATATCAGAGATAACTTACGATTGTATCCTGGCCAAAACGGAGGCCTCATTCGATTCCTTTGCATAATAAGATAAACGCTACGGACCCGCAGCACCCGAACATACTATCCCGCAAATGAAAGGTGGCGGCCAGATTTTATTTATATAAACAACACAAAATATAAAACCCTAACCTCACTAACAGAAAATAACACATTTGTTGAATGTGCCCATTTTTACGTAGAATTTACAATTTCAGTTAAGATTCATTGCATGCTTATAATTACTTTTGACTCTATAGGTTCAAATTTAACATGGACGCCTAAATTTGATTTCATTATCCGGATTCAGAAAAAGTGCGCTGCATTATGTAATATTTAAATTAGAACATATTCCAGAATAGAAATGTCAATGCTCGCTTATTCGTCTATTGTGCCTGTATGTATATCATATTATCACTCTAATTGGTCAAACAATATAATGCGGGAGGAATTTCTCCCTATCACGAACTCTATTTTTAGTCTAGTACTGTGCAATAATAAAAAAACTGCCTCAAATTTGACATTTTTGCACACAGGCGAAACTCAAATTTCTGATTAATTTCATAAAATAAGAGATTAATGAAAAATTTAAACTTCAGAAATAAAAGCAGAGAAATTAAAGAATGACAATCCCAGACCACCATATTTTCTTTGGGCCAAACGTTAATTAAATAATGGGTTAATCACTGCATTTTGATTTAAAATTTCCTTTTGTCGCTTCTGTGAAGGATAATTGGAATTTATTTATTTGCCTTGCCAATCAAAAAATAGTTCATTAAAATATAAACGGAGACCTGCTGGAAGAAATGACTTCATGTAGACCCATATTCGAAATTTAAAAACATCATTCACTTGAAAATGGCAAATGTCACAGTTCTTAATAATACGTCTGAAGGCCCGAGGCCCCTATTTACTAGCCAGATAGCAGCAAATTATCATTAAGACTTACGCACACTGGATATTACAAAGATCAGTTAAGGGCACATCGAAATATATCCAATGAGCAAGGACACGAAAAACTCTTGTTGAATTTGTTTGTTAATAAACAGGGAATTTCAACCTCTCCGAAAACTTTCCCTGGTGTGTAGTTTTTCATTAAAACTTTATGTACCGAGTAGAATTCCATCAATGATAAAACATATTTAAAATTACCTAAAGCGAACATACTTCTGGAAATAGGATTATAGGGGAAAAGTGCCTTTACTCGGTGTGAATCTTTCTGCTAGGAACTAGACAGTCTAATTTTTTTTAAATATTTAAGTGTTTTTTCCTCATTTCTAACAACACTTTACCTTGTTATATCATAAATTATATATAAGTTTGTACATGCCTTGTGTACAGTAGAAAAATGTATCGTTATTATGATCTTCAGCACACAAATTTTATCGAATTGACTAAGCAGTGCAATTCCGTTATACTTCCACTTCCTAAATAAAGATCTTGATCCTCATTCTCCAGGGAAGTTGTCCCTGATACACTTGACCTCGAAACAGGCGTTTGGTGGTTATCCTGATACCATAAATGTCATGTAGTTATATTGTCACTGATAAATTAATAGTTTTCTGAGGTATATTTTGATATTGAGCTGTATAATGTCCAGGAAATATTGGTCGAAATGAAAATATTGCTTGGTAAATTGCTGTTTACTCCCCACCCAATGATCCGCCTTAACAATTGTTTGACTGAGGATGAAACCTGATTTAATTTATCAAACCTTATTTAGTAGTTCACTCTAAAAGTCAGTGCGTAAAAACAGTCTTCCAGATTTAATTGAAAAACTAACCACATGTTAGTTATACAGTACATTAGATTTAGAAATAAGACAAACCAGGTGATCAAGACAGGATTACAATTTTCGAAGCCCATTGGCTCGTAACCAGGGTTGGCGACTTTGGTACTAAAACCGAAGTGCTTACTAAGTGCACTTTTTGATGGGGTAAACACAACGTGTTGTACAGTGAAGAAATATGCAACTCCAGATGTAGTTCACTCACCAATAATTATTTAGACCCTCAACATGTTTTCTTGACTTTTACAGTTGGTGAAATTTATATCGCCAATGATAAGTGATGAAAATGATAAAGTCGCCCGAGCTGCATTAAAGTTATGCCTTGATGCCCGACAATTGGACTTGCGAAACAGCGGTGGAAGAAAAAACCAGGAAAAATTTTGTCCGGGTCTGCTCTCTCTTCTCTACGAAAGGCAGGATGTGGATGGTTTCGCAAGACTACTGACTCTCATCTACCTACAACTCGATAGCGATGTGACCGGTGTCTCGGATCTATCACGTAACTGTTTGGATGAGACTCTGAGCATTCTCGGTAAGTTGCCATGGCCTATACCAACTGTTCCTTTCGTAATTACGACAAGTTTTATTAGCAGTAATGAGTGACAGGAAATTAAAGGTTATGGCTCGCGAAAAGGACTTACTGGGATTTGAGCAGGTGCATTATACGGGCGCAGGTAGAACGCAATTCGTGGATTGTAAATTAGTCGGTTGAAAGCATTGAGGAGTGGGTGTTAAACGCTTGGATAAATGTTGTGTGGGTTTTCACAAAGCAGGAACATTGTTTGTGTTTTCCGAGTGAGTCAAAGTCACCGAGCAAGTGACTGGGTTTTGGTGTGCTTTGAAACATGAGTAGTAATTTTCGTCTAGTTGGGTTTGCACCACTTTCAAACAATCACAGCTTCATGTCGGTGTAACCGATCCTAATTGAATATGCTTCACATTGTCCTGGGACAGCGGTTTCACTGAGCCAGATACTAATCCGGCCAATGAGGCCCACCCCAAGAATCCAGCTAAGTTGTATAGAGTGGCGATTTGGTCTTGCGAAACTCGTTGCTTTCCCAATGTATGCCTATTGAAGACAAGCCAAACACTGTTCCAGCGCGACTCTTTCCTGCACTGGGCGCCAGTCCCGCTTGGACGCAAAGCGACGCATATTTCAAACAAGTTAAACCCTAAACTTAGAGCGGATTTATGGAGTGGCTGTTAGCTATGGATCTAGTCAAAATGACGCTTCATTTGTACCTAAAGTATGCCCCAAGCGCTTCTTCAGATTCGACTGTCACGTGTTCGAGATGTACTTGTACGATTCGCCTCAAACGGGTAAGCATAAAGAAGGAAATCACTACTCATCTTCCACAACTTCCTTGCTTTAAAAGCTTTCTCCAAAGGTGTCAAGACTACCGTATTTGTTGTCTTCATATTCATGTAATCGCCACTTTTTTGTTACCAGAGAAATGAGTGGTCTGACACGGTTGATCTTTGTCATTTAAACAGGCCTGACACCTGGGTACTGAAAATAACGACTGCCATTACCACTTTTTTGTCACATACTCAGGACATGCGCATTTCAATTACTTGTCTGTGCTTTCTCGATACAGCTTAAAACGTAACCTTGAAAATTTTAAACACTGTTATTTCCTACGCTTTTTAAGGTGACCCAGAAAAGTAAACACACTATGATTGCTGTAAACAATAGCTGTCTACGCAACTTTGAGTCCCATGAATGAACAAACACACCGATTCCTCAAGTAGTAGAAGACGACCCTGAACTTTCAACAACGCATGCGTGTTACCCTACACAACAAACTTTGCAACAGTAAGCATTGTGCAGTAAACGTAAGCATACCACGTTGGGGCCATGTGAACATTGCCGGTCAAGTAAGCAACTTGAGAGTAACCACCAAGGAGAATCAGAAAAACATGATAAATGCTGCTGTTTCTTATTCCGATGATCGTGTGAGCAGAAACTCCTCCATTCCCACTAAAAATATATTATTTGGGCAGGAGCTTCAAGCATTCGTTAGCGTGTGCTATTTTGAACAAATGCACGAGTACACAGCGGTGTTCGTTACTCGAAAATGGCTACTTTTTGGCTGATTTCTGTTCCACTACATGTGGCTTTGCATTACGACAATTGAAACGTTCGTTTGCGTTATTAGGGTACATGGAGAGTTGAATTAAAATACGTAGTGGTAAGATTACGTGATGATGTGGCTGTTTCGAGGTAGTTTGCATTTAATTGGTCTTTATTTTCAACACGCAACCGAACTTAGGGGTGTTTTCATGGCATGACCAAATCGCCTTGCACAGGCCTCAATCGGACTTGAAGCCTATACCTTCGTGCGGTGGGTTAAGGCGATCCCAGGCTGTGCCGTTTATGGAAACTTCCTCAACACTTGATTTCGCAGCGTTTAGTGCAAATTTGTCAAAAAAATGCTCGCTCTCATTATTGATAAGCATTTTAAACCTCTCCCGCTGAAGTGCAATTCCCCTCTTGTGAAATGACGGAGGCTCCAATGCTGAACATTAGTTGATTTCAGTTTTAATGAATTTGGCACAAAGTGGTGTTGCGGCTCTATACACCACAAAGTACCCAAGGAAGAAAAGAGCTAGGAGGAAAGAGGCCTAACCAGTGATCCGATGTCTCAACTAAGTTGTGAGCGTCACGCCACTGTGCATGAGAAGTCGCGTCTGACTGCTGAGGTTGCTGGCCCATATGGTCTTGGTGAACTTGTAAAAGTACAAATGGCTGAATGACGGTCGGATGAGTGGAATGGGGAGTGGGGGTGGCACATGCACAGGGGTGTTTGAGCAGACGGTCCCGCATGGCTGACGGGCACGCTGTGAAAAGGGACTAGCTTGTCGGAGAATGCGACGACTGGGCTAATGGACGTGAATCAGCCCGACTCGCTAGAACCGTTTTTGCTCCATCGCCATGAAAAAGTGCTATTCCAACGGAGCAGAATCAAGATTAGATTGGTGAATTAGATTGAACGTTTCAGGCCAAATCCTTGAGGCTTTCATGAATAAGTCTGGGGCCGTGTAGTCTTGTGAGGTAATGCTGGGGAACAACAAGATTTCGATTAA